TTTTTTCTTACATTATGTTTTGTTTGTGTGCAAAAAAAAAAAAAAACAAAAACAAAAAATCGAATTCGAACAAACCGACTATCACACAAACACATACACACACAACACACACAACATACACAACATACACAACACATACACGCACACACACAATAATCGATGTCACTTGCAACACGCACAACAACAACTACAACAAACACTTGCAACTGTGCATCATCCTTTCTCTCTCTCTCTCTCTCTCACGTATACGCAACACAAAAACTCGTGTTCTGTGTCTGTGTGTCTCTTCTCTTTCCTAACAACTTTTCACTTCTGATCCATCCATCCAAAAAAATAAAAAAAAACTATCGAAAAAAAACCCACAAACACACACCAATCAACCCACTTTTTGCTCACACACACACACACACACACACGCACACACACACTATACAATCGAATTGACAACACGAACACGTACACATGTCACGATCACGACCACGTTCACGATCACAGGATATGCTTGGACCCGAAGAAGCATATGAGGGCCTTTACGGACAAGGTCCGCCCAGTGTGCACAGTTCGCACGGAGGTCGCGCATTCCATCAGCAAGGTATGTATGGCTTGCTTTCACCTACTACGGCACTAAGGATCTACAATCAATCAACACTAATCAATCACAGATCTTACCCCATTTAAATAAGATACCTTTAATATGGCCCGAACCCGCCCCACATATCGTTGCAAATAATCAATGTCTGAATGTGTGTGTGTGTAAACTAATTATTTGCTATAAGCTGAAATCAACAGATGACTAAAACTGAGACCCCCCCCTCTCACCTAACACCGTAGTTAATTGAGTCCCCCCCCGGTCCAACACAACCCCAGGAGCCTTCTGTGAACTTTCGTTAATCATTAGTAGCTTAACAATTATCACATCAGTCACTAATCGATTACCTAACAAGTGTCCTGAATAATCGATAGCTACGTTAAGTGTCATCAATTACACAACTATCGATTACCACTTCACTGATTCAAAAGTCAAGCTCAGATGAACCAGTTTGAATAGATTTCACATACACACCCTCAAATGCGATCGTGTGAACTTGGCTTGAATCTCTTTTTCTTATGCTCATGCTCGATAACATGTGTATGTATTTCTGTTCCCTGACCCGAGCCCCGGCCATAGCCACAACCATGGACAGCGCCACACCCACCCGAAGCCAATCAGCACCACCCATTGACCCAGTTCTGCATGCCAAGTGTGCTACGTAAAAATATATGAATATATATATATAAAAAAAAAATAATAATAAACCACAAGTATAACTTTACTTCATTTCTCTTTGCGTCTGTTTAGTTAGTTACATCCCCTTCCCGCCCATTATTTAAAAGCCCAACTTCAAAGTGTCTGTTCAATGTTTCAATTGCCATCGAATAAAATCCACAGTGTAAATCAACTTGAAATCATTATCAACAAACAGGAAAAATAAGTGGTTGAGCCAAAAAAAAAGAAAGCTCGACAGAGCTGCAGCGAAGTGCTGAGACCATTTAACATGCATGTTAAGTCCACAACAAAACATTTTACTCGAATGTTAAGTTGGAGTCGGATTATAATGTATCATTCCATTCGCCTTTTTGCCTTGCCAGCAAGCAGTTAATTAGAGAACACAAATAGAGAGTTTGAGGTAACGGTTCGTAGAGCTGCGTGCAACCCCCACCCCCACTCTGGTATATTATACACATATAAATTCAAGTACATCCACAACACCCACAAACACACGCACACACACACACACACAGAGAGAGAAATATCGAACTTGATACAGTTTGAGGCGCCCTCAAAAACAGCGTTCTCTTGATTTTCTTTGATTAATTGTTTATTTTCAAATATTAAAAGGCTATTTTCACTTTGATATATTATCAATTACAATTATGTTTTAAGTTGAATTAAGCATTGATTTGGCATGCTGTTTAAATGTTCGATAGACTTTTGCTTAATAGAATTGAATGCTGCATTCACTGGAAAGTGTCCTTGTACATATGCATGTGGATATATGAGTTAAACTATTAGATCCGAGTGCTTTAGCTCGTATATATTACATATATATTATATAATTTGATGTACTCTATTGTATTTATATATCGCAATAACATAATTGATAACATGACAGATTTTGGCTGTGCCTGCGATTAAACTCTATCAAATTTCTCATTCCGCAGGATATGATACTCTACCAATAGATTCAATGCAAGGTCTCGAAATCAGCAGTCCAGTAGGTGGTGGTGCTGGCGCTGCTGGTAATACAGTAGGCGGTGGTGCTGGCGCCGGTGGCGCTGCACCACCCGGCGGGGCACCCACATCGCCCTACTCCATGGACATGGATGTCGGCGAGATTGATGCGGGCGCTTTGAATTTTGATTTGGATGCCATGCCGACGCCACCCAATGACAACAATAACTTGGCTGCCTGGTACGATACCGACTGTTAAGCACAGATCACAAGGATGATCATGATTATGATTAAGAAGACGAGATGACTACGACGACGATAACAACTTTGGTTGTTCATTCAAACACAATATAAATACTAAGATAACTATCGCCCCCACATCAACCATATGCTACTAGGCTAGGCAGCTCAACATTTATTAACATAATTAAGAATAAATACAAATTCGAAAACGATACCTTTGCGCTCTCGCAACTGGAAAGAGCGTAAAATGCCAAAAATAGAATGTGCTCTCATTATGTATGTCCTTCTATGTATGTGTGTATGTAAACATCAAATGATGTTTGCATGTGTTTGTGTGTATACATACCGAATATAGCGTTATGCATGTGCATAAAGGTAGTTATTGCATAAGGCGGGCTATGTCGTATAAAATGTGTATTTTTTTTTGTCACTTTGCCTTTACAATTTAGCAATTGTATCTAAGGTAAACACACACACACATTCATATAATGAATCAGCGAAAATACTTAGCCCCTTTCGTACATACAACACTCGAACACGAAACGACGACAGATCAGCAAGTTTTTTTTTTGTGTGTGGCTTTTGGAGAGCGAAAAGCCATCTGAAAAGACATGCCAGAAAATGTGCGCAGTATTGAAATGTGTATGGGCATAACGCATCTTGGTGTTTATATTGTCTTTGGTTGATGCCAATGTCGTGCAATTAAAATACACACATTACATTATATATTAAACATAAACATAATCTTACATATTACCCATATACACAGAAATGGAAATTAAACGAATGTTTGCAATAGAATCATAAATTAAAAACGTTTTTCAACTTGAAACCCAGAAGTATTCCCAGTATTTGAGTTTTCTTTTTTGGAAACTGATAGCAAATATTTTGAAAAAAAAAACAACTCGAATGGAATCGATAACAGAGGGAAATCTACATAATTGAACTTTTTTTTTGGATGGATTGCAAATTGCGATATGGACTTCTGGTACTTAAAATTCGAATAAACAGGCACAAAAATTGAATAACAATTGGCTGATTTATTAAAACATTTACTACGTTAATTATTGGTTCGCTATAAACTATAAATGCTTGCCGAACCACTTGTGGTCCACAGGCGAGAGCCATCGATGGCAACCATTTAAATTGTTTTGTATAACATATTTCAAGGTGAACGGGTTCTGGTTCTCGCGAGCTCGTTGCTCCTCCGATGCCTGCAGTTCGTCCAGCATTTGCTGGGAGACAACAGTCGCCTGGAATGGCAACTGATTGGCCACCTGCTGGAGGAAGCCCTTGCATTCGACGAACTCGCATTTGCCAGCAATTTCAACAATCACACGTCCGGCCTTGACTGGTGTCACGTAATGATCGATGGCACCCTTGCCGCCGCCCATGCGTTGGCCCTGACCCTTTTTGGTGATTGGCTGCCAAGGCGCGGGCACACGCCAAGTGGCAAACATTGTGTTTACATTCATTTTGCGGCCAATTGTCAGACGCATCATTTCGTAATGCCCCCAACGCAAACGGCCGCCACCTGTCGCAATTATCGCGTACTGTTTGTGGAGCAGTTGATTGTGGACGAGCTCGGGTCCGCGCATATAACGCAAACGCTTTTGCATTTTGGGTGGGCGCAGGTTGGGTGGATGCTGGGGCATGCGCTCCATAATACGCAGCTTGGGTCGCTCCACTTTCTCGATGTCTGCAATTTGATGCACATTGTAATACAGTATAATATTAGAAATATATATATATCATTTTGGGTATTTTACTTTCATATTTGATTGGCGGTGGAAAATATTTGAGGCCGGCTACGCAATTGTAATTCACATTGGCAGCTGAAAATGTATACGATTTTGAATGATAATATACTTGTGCTGTTTCTGAATAGTATTGTACTTACATGTTATGCTGCTTTTGAACACTTGTGTGACCGTTTTTAAGCACCACATGTCTCTTTTAAATATTTATTAAATTCAAGAATTCAGGAGTTTGGTCTGTTGCTGGTTGCATCAGCGGAGCGTTGCCAGACTGTCGACCTTCCGATTAAGGATTGTTCTTAATTGGCAGATTAGGGTTAGTATAAGCCATCAGATACTTATATTAAATGTACAACTTACTGATTATGAGCAGGTTAATTTATGTATACATATCCATACAAATAATATTAATTTATTTTATTTTTTTTGTAAAGTTAAGTAACACTGTTTTAGATGTAGGGTTACCATAGGCATTTCGTTATCGCATTCACGATTCATCGAAAATATACGATATATGAATACAAAATGTATGTTTAACACATATATAAATGTATAAGAACAAGAAGTTACCGTTTATATATATTGTCATAAAAATCGAACATTGCTCGACAATTAACAATGAACAATATAATACAGCAACAGATACGTCCATATTCGACATAACTGTACAGGTTGCATATGCAGGTTCGAACATATATTTGATTGCTATAGTGGAAACTCGGTATATGCGTGTGGGTGTGTGTACTTATTGCTATCGAAAAATGCAACGCTGTCAAAGTGTGGTATTTTTCTTCATATATTATCACTGGTTAAAGTTTAGGATACCCTGCGCATACACGAAAAATCATTTTTTGTCTAAATAGTGTATGTTTTGAAACATTCTCTATATGTACATACAAACAAATAGAACTGTAGATCCGAGTGCATTGAGCAACAATTGCTAGCGTTTAAATGTGTTTGGCCGCTTAGTTTGTTGTTATGAATATATCGAAAGTGACAACATCGCTTGCTGCTGCGGCTGCTGCCGCCGAAAAAGCGAAACCCGAACGTGTAACATCTGCAACGGCAGCGCTCAATTTTAATACAATCTCCATACAAAAGCGCAGCAGTGTGGACGACAATGATGATCCAAATCGCAAGAAACTAAAACGCGACATTGTTATATGTACGCCCACGACCAGTTTACCCGCCAAACAGCGTGCAGCTACAGCTACAGCTACAGCTACAGCTACAGCAACAGTAACAGCAACAACAACATCAGCAGCAGTAGCAGCAGCCTCACCAGCAGCAACAACAACACAACCAGCCACAGCTTCAACAACAGCCACAATCAGCGCTGGGCTGGCCAGTAAAACAACTCCGGGCGAGCCACAGACAACAAACATTTTGGCCGCCTCCAGTATTGGCGGTAACTTTGTCAGTCATTCGAATGCAAAGCCAGAAGCTGCTCCAGCTCCGGTTGATATCTGCTGGGAGCAGCGTGATGACCAAATAATTGTTTGTGAAATGAGCGCCATTAAGCCAGAGGAGTCGTCCGCTACAAAAAACATCACCAGTAGCAACAGCAACAGCAACAATCCAAAGCAAAGTAAGTTTAGCTGCCAAATTTGTTGTTGTTTAGTTTCAGCTATTGTTTAATACAACACATTCGTGTTTCAGCTTTTGCCAGCTTTACCAAAAAAGATGTCACAACAGCATCGGTCTCATCATCCTCCTCCACAGCCTCCATTATATCGATTGAGCCAAGCGCTGAACAGCCGTCAAGCAACAATAACGAGCAGCAGCTGGTCAAAGCTGTGACCGTTGAGGAGCTCGACTATGTGCTGATACCTGCCACAACGACGGCTGAGCTAAAGCCGGCAACAAACGAGGCAACAGTTACAAATAATAATAATAACAACAGCAGTGCAAACAGCAGCAGCAGCAGCAATAGCAGCAACAATGTGGCTAGCAGCAGCAGCAGCAGCAGCAGCAACAGCAATGCCTCTGGCAACATGACGCAAAAGGCAACGCCACCGACACAGCTACAAGCGGGCAGCTATAACATGTTCAATAGCGGCACCACAACAGCTACTGGCACAGCAACAGCGGCCGCAGCGCTGGTGAATCGCGTTAATTTGCATGCCAAGTTGAAGGGCCAGCAGCTGATGGTGAACGCCAAGAAGCTGGGCGAGGTCACGCAGACAACGGCCAAGGTGTCCATTGGTAATAAGACGATATCGGTGCCGCTCTTGAAACCGCTGGGCAGCACGCAAATACTTCAGGGCGGCCAATTGATGAGTGCCAGCGGTGCAACCACGGCAGGTGGTGCAACAATTGTTGAAAGCAAACAGCAGCTGGCGACAACAACAACGGCAACGGTAGCCTCACAACAACAACAACAGCAGCAGCAGCAGCAACAACAACAACAACAACAGCAGCAGCAGCATTTGCACATAGCCAAGCTGCTGAAGGGCCCACGCAAAACTCCGACTACAATTGTCTCATTTGCCAACGTGCAAATCAAGCCGGCCAATACCAAAATTGTCACCGCCAAGGTGGTTAGCAAGAAGATGTCGCTGCAATTTCAGCAACAACAGCAACTGCAGCTGCAGATACAACAGCAGCAGCAACAGCCCAGCGGCGGCAGCATTGTTACCATAACACCAACAAATCCAAATCAAACATTTACCATGCTGCAGCAACAGCCACAGCAGCAACAGCAGCAGCAGCAGCAGGCCCAGGATAAACAGCACGATGCCGAGCAGCTAGATCAGCAGCAGCAACAGCCGAAGACCATCAGCTACAGCGAGAATATACAAAAGATTTTGCTAAACAAAAGTAAATCGTTGGATGGAGGCGATGCCAGCACCGAGTTTGGCAAGATCAATAGCGTTGTCATCAAGCCCCTGGACAAGACCCAATTGCACTGTACGCCCAGCCTTAATATATTCAAGCAGCAGGTTCAGCAGCAGCAGCAGCAGCAACAGCAGCAGCAGCAGGTAGCATCAGCTGTAGCAGGCGTTGCTGGACACGGCGAGGACACGCTGGTGAAGTCAACAGCTGGCGCCACGCTCTGCACGCGAAACATTATATCCATACAGAAGAATATCTCGCTGGTGGTGTCCAAGACGGGGCTGGCGCAGCAAAAGCCCAAAATGATTACGACATCAGCGAACACCACAACGCTGCAAATGCAGCCGTTCAATCCACACGAGGCTGCCGAGACTGTGGCCAAGCTGCAGCTAAAAGTGCAGCCAATCAAGTTGAACGAAACGCTGTCGGTCAAGCCAGCCGATGCCAGCGACAGCGAGGCAGCCAAGCCGAAGCTACTGCTGGTCAAGCAGGCAACGGCTCCGCCGGACAGTCATAAGGATGCGCCAGCTGAGCAGCAACAGCAGCAGGAGCAGGAGCTGGGCAATGCCACAGAGAAGCGTCTGCAGCAGCCCAGTCGAGTGGAAGACTCAAACAATGCGCTGCTGAAGCAATTGTTGCAAAACAGCAGCAGCAGCAGCAGCAACAGCAGCGCCAGCAACAACAACCACAATCTGCAACAGATTTCTATAACATCGGCGCCTCTGTCCGCGCGCAAGGTAATCAATGTGCGTGCGCCCAGCATGGGTCTAGTCAGCTCGCTGGAGGCGCAACTGGCACGGCCCGTCATACCGCCCGTCCCAGCGGCCGTCAGCAGCAGCAACAGCAACACTAGCAGCAGCTGCAACACGATAACCACCACAACGGCCACCATGGTGGCCATTAGTCTGACGTCCACGCCATCCACACCAGCCGAGCCACAAAAGTTGCTAGAGTTGCAGCAGCAGCAGCAGCAACAGCAGCAACAGCAGCATCAGCAGGAGGCAGCCGCTGCAGCAGCAACATCGACAACAGTCACAACTGCACCAGCTACAGCAACAACAGCAACAGCAGCAGCAGCAGCAACTGTTGCACCTCCGCCAGCGCCGCAGCTGAAGCAGTCGGTGCAAATTGTGTCCAAGGAGACCTCCTTTATATCCACACCCGTGGCACCTAATCCTGCTGCTGCTGCTGCTGCAGCTGCCGCCGCCGCCGCTGCTGCTGCTGCTGCAGCTGCAGCTGCTGCAATGCCCGCTGTGACAAATAAGCTGCCGTCCACTTTGATTGTCGAGCCGAGCATTAAGACAGATCCGCTGCCGCCCCCGCCACCGTACGAGCTGAGCGCCGGCCACGTATCGAATGTGACCATTTCCATAACGACCAAGCCCAGCAAGGAGCAGCTGCTCAAGCTCAACAAACTGGAAGCACATGATGAGGTGCAAGCGCAGGCGGATACCGAGAAGCCGCACTCAATGGCGCCCTTGCACAGCGACAACTGGAAGCTGCAGGAGAAATCGGCAAATGTGAATCTGTTGAATAGCGAGGCCCTGAAAAGAAAGTTGCCGCTGCAGCAGCAGCAACAACAACAACTGCAACAACAACAACTGCAGCAGCAACAACAGCAGATTGAGGAGAAGCCAACGTTGGAGATTAAGAGCGAAATTGCTTTGGTGCACAGTAACAATGTGGATACTGATATGATGAAGGCGCGCCTTGCCGCGCAACCTACCACTTTTGAAAAGTTGCAGCAGCAGCAGCATCATCAGCAACAACATCAGCAACAGCATCCGCAACAGCATCAGCATCAGCAACAGCAACAGCATCAGCAACAGCCGCAGCAACACTTGCAACAGCAACTTCAGCAGCAGCAACATCAGCCGCAACAACAGATTCAATTGCAGCTACAGCAACAGCAGCTGCTGCAGCAACAACAGCAGCTACAACAGCAACAGCAACAACAGCTACTGCAACAACAGCAACAGCATCATCCGCAGCAACAGCAGCAGGTACAGCAGCAGCAGCAGCAGCAGCAGCAGCAACTGCAACAGCAGCAACATATACAGCAGCAGCAACATATACAACAGCAGCAGCAACTACAACAACAGCAGATACAACAGCAGCAACTACAGCAGCAGCAGCAGCAAATACAACAGCAACAGCAGCAGCAGCAGCAGCAGCAACAACATCAGCTACACCAACAACCAACGTCAGCAACAGCAGCAGGAGCAACCACATTGGCTGAGCCAAAGGCTGTGGAGCAGCGCAAGCGACGCAAGCGCGAGGCACAAAAACCAAGACGCAACAATGCCAATGCTGCTGCCGGCGCTGCAGCTGCTGCTGCTGCGGCCGCGGCGGCTGCTGCCGCTGCCAATAGTAGCCTAAGGGATATGCCGCCAGGCACATTGTCCGCCGGCGCTGCGGTCCCGTTGGTCAACATGTCTGGGAACACGCAGCTAAGCGGTCCGCTGGCCACAGGCAGCCATTCGCTGGCGGGCAGCGGTGGCGCCGGTGGCATGGGCTCGCCCATGCTGAAGAAGCGTGTGCGCAAGTTCTCCAAGGTCGAGGAGGATCACGATGCATTTACCGAGAAGCTAATGACGCACATACGCCAAATGCAGCCGCTACAGGTGCTCGAGCCGTTGCTCAATCGCAATTTTCTCATTGGCAGTGGCCCATGCTTTGGCAGCAATGGCAGCAATGCCAACGGCGGCGGCGGCGGCGGCGGCAAACTGAAGGCCATATCGCGTGCTCTACAGCTGCAGCGACAGCTGGACGATGGCGAGGGCGGCAGCAGCGGCAGCATTGACTGCGATCAGCTGCTCGGCCGCATTGGGCAGCTGCGTCATCCCAGCATCAAGTCGTTGTACGATAGCGAACGCTTCGGCGGCAGCGGCGACACCACCGCCAATAATCTTGCCAGCAACGGCAACAACATCCAGTCTAGCAGTGGCTCACTCTCGAGCATACAGAATGACTTTTACGATCAGGAGTTCTCCACGCACATCCAGCGCAATCCGCGCGAGCGTCTGCAGCGCCTGATAAGCGCCGTGCGCGACTGCAACTTGGAGACCACAGAGCTGGTCGAGCTGCAGCAGCAGCAGCAACAGCAGCAGCAGCAGGCAACTGGCATGCGTTTGGATGGGCCCGTTTCCTGGTCGCGGCTGAGTCGTTATCCGGGCCTGGTGCTGCTTAATACCAACAGCAATCAGCGCTGTGCACCGGGACGCATGTCTCCCGTGGCGCTGGCCATGGATGCGAATACGATGCGTCCGCCTATCTCGCCCCTTTTGCGCAGCTGTGGCGAGGAGTTGCGCAAGGCGCAGCAGCTCGATCTGGGCATTGGCTTGGGCCACAACCCCACTAGCAGCAGCAGCGTCACCAGCAGCAGCAGCAGCAGCAGCAGCAGCAGCAACAACACCACCAACAGTACCAACAATAACAACAACAACAACAACAATTATCAGCAGAAGAACCAAAATGTGATACTCTCGCTGCACAGTTCGGCAACAGACAACATTGCCGGCGTGCTGCGAGATTTGGCGAATCTGTTGCACCTGACACCCGCGCTAACCTGCAAACTGATCGATGCCTCAACGGCGGACAAGGCCAAGGAGCCAAGCGAAGCAGAGCTGGGTCCTGGCCAGAGCAACTCGGCAACGGCACCGGCAACGGCAACAGCAACAGCTGTCACTAGTCACGGCAACCTGCGCAAAATACTCACCGGACAGCGGAAGCTGTGCCGTTGCTGTGGCAGCGTCATTGCCGCCTTCGGCCTGCGCGTGCCCCATCAGAATTTGCCGGAGGAGCAGCCACCGCCCATGCTGGCAATGCTGCGTTCGCTGCTGCCGCGCAAATCCCCGCCGCTCCCGTATATATACTTTTGCAACCGCAGCTGCTTTGCACAGTACAAATGGCGCGGCAAGGAGGAGCCCGCCGACGAGGAGGTGGCAGCGGCGGCAGCGGCGGCCTCGGCCACAACTTTGCCAATAGCTGGCGATGTGCCTGCGAGCAGCACCATGGCCATGCTGCCCATTGATAAGGTTGAGCCCGACGACCTTGAAATGGAGCAACAGCAACAGCAACATCAACAGTTGCAGCAGCAGCAGCAGCAACAACAAGAACAACAGCAGCAACAACAACAACAAGAGCAACAACAACAGCAGCAGGTCGAACAGACGCCAACAACGCCACCTGTGAAGCGCAAGTGCATCGTCAAGTACTACAGCGCCGATTGCTTTGCAGCACACAACACAGAAGGTGCGTCCATCAAGCAGGAGAATGAAACAACAACAGCCAATAATACCGTCTGGGAGACAGACTGCAAGATGGAAGCCTTGGAGGATAGCCGTCAATGCGTCTTCTGCAATCAGCGCGGCGATGGCCAAGCCGATGGACCCTCACGTCTGCTTAATTTTGATGTGGACAAATGGGTAAGTGCCGACGACAGGACTTCAAATGTTGATGAGATGGTGGCCGCACACACACATAGCATTCCCATTGAAACCATATTCGTTTAGCCAATATCTCCAAAGCGGGCTTAATCAAAACAAAATACGCTTCTTTGAGCCTTCTTGGTCTTTTTGTTACTTTATTCCGCTTTGTGTGTCGCATTCGTGAACGTTTCGGCTTACAGTTTAGTCCAGAAATCGGCGCAATATTTATTTATTATCGTATTGTTACAGGTTCATCTGAATTGTGCCTTGTGGTCGAACGATGTCTACGAGACGGTGTCGGGTGCGCTGATGAATTTCCAGATGGCCCTGCAGTCCGGACTGAATCAGGCATGCAGCGCCTGCCATCAGCTGGGCGCCACCATCAAGTGCTTCAAGTCGCGCTGCAGCAATCTCTACCATCTGCCCTGCGCCATCAAGGAGGAATGCATCTTCTACAAGAACAAATCGGTGCATTGCAGCGCACATGCGGCCAGCAGTTCGGCGGGTGTCACCGAAAATGAGCTCAGCTCGTTTGTGGTCCATCGACGGGTGTTTGTCGATCGCGATGAGAACCGTCAGGTGGCCACGGTCATGCACTATTCGGAGCTGAGCAACTTGCTGCGCGTGGGCAATATGACATTTCTCAATGTGGGCCAATTGCTGCCGCATCAGCTGGAGGCTTTCCACACGCCCAACTACATTTACCCCATTGGCTACAAGGTGGTAAGTATGCACAGACTCAGCAAAAGATTCACATCGATTCACATGGCCGTTTCATTTCGAATCTCTAGAGCCGCTACTATTGGTGCGTGCGCCGACCGAATCGGCGATGTCGCTATATCTGCAGCATTGCCGAGGTCGGCTGCCGGCCGGAGTTCCGTATACAGGTGCACGATGCCAGTGACAAGGAACCGGATCGTGAATACCGCGACAGTACACCGACGGCCGTTTGGCAACAGATCCTGCAGCCCATACAGCGTATGCGCAAGGTGCACAAATGGCTGCAGCTCTTTCCACAGCACATTAGCGGCGAGGATTTGTTTGGTTTAACGGAGCCGGCTATTGTACGGATATTGGAGAGTTTGCCGGGCATTGAGACGCTCACCGATTATCGTTTCAAATATGGACGCAATCCATTGCTGGAGTTCCCGCTGGCCATCAATCCGTCCGGTGCGGCACGCACCGAGCCCAAACAGCGTCAGCTGCTTGTCTGGCGGAAACCGCACACACAGCGCACCGCCGGCAGCTGCAGCACCCAGCGCATGGCCAATTCGGCGGCAATTGCCGGTGAGGTGGCGTGTCCGTATAGCAAACAGTTTGTCCACTCCAAGAGTTCGCAGTACAAAAAGATGAAACAGGAATGGCGCAACAATGTCTACTTGGCGCGGTAAGCTTTAAATGAGCACAAATTGCAATCATTTTATAAAACATTCTACCCAACAACAAACAGATCAAAGATTCAGGGCCTCGGCTTGTACGCAGCACGCGACATCGAGAAGCATACGATGATCATTGAGTATATTGGCGAGGTAATACGCACGGAAGTATCGGAGATACGTGAGAAACAATACGAATCAAAGGTGAGCGTGCCATATGCTATATTCACTCATATGTATATTATAAATGCAATGCAATTGCCAATCTGCCTCCACAGAACCGTGGTATCTATATGTTCCGCTTGGATGAGGATCGCGTTGTCGATGCAACACTGAGCGGCGGTCTGGCGCGCTATATCAATCACTCCTGCAATCCAAACTGTGTCACAGAGATCGTTGAAGTTGATCGCGATGTGCGCATCATAATATTTGCCAAGCGTAAAATCTATCGAGGCGAAGAGGTCATATCTTATACTCTTAGATATACGCCAAGACACAAACACTGACATTTAATTCGTTTACTCCAACAGCTCTCGTACGACTATAAGTTTGATATTGAGGATGATGCGCACAAGATACCCTGCGCTTGTGGTGCGCCCAATTGTCGAAAGTGGATGAATTAGAGCCCAGCAGCAGCACCTCCAACACCACCACCACCATCATCACCACCACAACAAACACCAGCTCCTACGCTCATGCAACAAACACCAGCAGCTACAAAAAGAGTTCGGGTGCTCCTTCCCAGTGAACACGATTTGAATTGTTGTTATTCACATGTTGTATACAACCACATCATCAAAATAGTATATATTCTTTAAGCAGTATATGTGTACATATATTTATTAGATATATATGCATGTATCTACACACACACACACACACACACACAAATATATATATATATATAAATATATATGTATTTATGCACGAGTATAAATGGCATAAAAATCTTCTAAGTTATCTGTGTGTGCCCACGAATGCGCCACTCGTGTATATTGTAGCTAATTTGTATCCTATTGCTCATAAGCCAAACGTGTTTTGTAGTATAATTAAAAAGAAAAAACAAACAAACAAACAAACAAAAAAAAAACAACAACAAGAAAAGAAAAACAAATAAGAAAATTTCACGCATAAAATATTTGTAGTTACAACTTTTAAGCATGTATTTTATGTTACTTGATGATTATTCGTATGTATTACGTGCGTACATATATAATACTATATATATATGTATCTGTACATCCTTCTACCCAATATCTGTAAACATCAATAGCAGACCTGGGTGTGCCTTCGTTCGTTTTTTTTTTATTATTATTATTATTATTCATTTTTTTTAGCTGTTACGAGACTGTATAGGAAGAAAACAAATGAAACAATCTCTTCCCAGGTGGTGTAGTAATTTATTTTATGTACATCCAAAATTGAATGTATTTTTTTTTTTTACTTAATTTCTTTTCTAATTTTTAACATACAAATATCAATCAATGTGTATCTATCTTTAGTTGTTAAGTAAATGTAAACACTTTAAAACCATATAACAATTTTTACATATATATATATGCATATATATATATATATATATATATATATATATATATATATATATATATATATATATATGCTCATATATATATATATATATATATATATATATATATATATATATATATATATATGTATATATATATATATGATTTTTCGTTTATTTATATATATTATATTTACATAAAACTTTTTTGTTCTTGTAGTGAAACAATTTAACTAAATTTCTTCAACAATTTGAACATTATATATGTACATTTATTGATGTTGGCTACGTCCTTTTCCTAATCCGGTTAAATAATTGTTGCACTTCGACGGCAAACGCTAATGTGAGCATGTCAAAATTTTTAATATACCATGATATATTGTACATCATATGGATGCGTCTGTTCTTGTCAAGAAAGGATTTATAGAAAACACTCATTTGATCGGCGCTTAGCTCATCGTTTCCGCTTAATTTGTGCAATCGTATGAAATCCGCTTTTTCCTGCAAAAGAACATAATAAACAAAAATGTATGTGTATAAACATTTCGAAATTTCATTCAACATGGATACAAACGAAAGGGAAGCTGAGGCAGAGAGGGCCAGAGAGAGAAAGAGAGATAGAGAGAGAGAGAGATGAGGGGTGAGTGAGTGCGCGCGAGAGAGATGGAGAGGGACGGAGCAAAAGAGAGGGGCATGTAGGTTTTTGATTTAAACGATATTATGATAGTGTTATAAAATGAACGCAGCTACAAACCTCATAGAACCGTTGGTTGTGCTTTGTCCAGAAATCCATATTCCATTTCTCAACTTCAATGCGTAAGAGTCGCAATTTATTGGCCAATTCAGTTTCATTCTCATCGTAATGCCGCACATACGGCCGCAGATTGGATTTCGGATCTGGCGGACCAATATAATCCGTTTTCACCGACTGCGCATCTGGCGGTTGTGTAAGACCAACGTACACAGAACGTTTTTTGGGCCGTGCCTGTGCCTGTGCCGTTGCCTTTGCTTGTGTTTGTTCTGTTCCATAGCAGCGTGACCAGTGCTAAATAACAATGCGCTGACATGAATGAGGGCACACTGGCATTTAATTATGAATTACTCACTTTTAAACAGTTTATCAATATCCGAGGGCGTAGGGTTTTATTCATTTCTATTAGTTAGTTTGTCATGTGTGTTTATGCATAAGTAAATACTGCCGCGACTAGTGATGAACCAAAACTATCGGCATAATTAAGATTACGTTACGATTGTTCGATTGATAAGAGTAGGCGTACTAGGTTTGCCGCCAAATCGTTATTTAAAAGCATACAACAAATTTTATATATTGAGGTTTTTCTTGCTTTCAATTACTCTGCATAATAACTGTGTTCTTCAATTATGCCAATGAAAATTATATTAATATTAATATATTTAAAAATAAAAAAAATTGGGGTATTCCGCGTTTGTTACCACAAAGCAGGGTCAATACTTTGGATTTAGAAACTGCAAGAATTGACCACAGAATTTATGTTGAAATCTTGTCTTCCACTAATGTTTACCACCTTGTCATGCCAATAAAATATAATTTTTTGCCTTTTATTAAGTTTTAAATGCAGAGCTGTTAAATATAGCTAAATCTGGCGAATAAATGGCTGAAAGCTGACAGCTGTGGCTCGCAGCATCCAGCATTTCATCATGCACGCGACGATATATCGTAAAAGCGACTATCGATACATACGATGACAATAACAATAATCAGCTGAAGCAGCTCTTGTGCCACGCAAAATTATAAATTAGTTATTTTTTAATTTAAGGCATCTATAAACAATTGAAATATAGGGCATTGACCGAGGGTGCCTAGATCCACAGGACGCAGACAGTAGGCAGCATGTCGTGGCTAAACAACAGCCTGAACACCATCAAAGGACAACTGACGAACTTGGCCCAGGAGGTGCTGGCCGACACAGCCGGACCCGGTGATGATGAGTACCGCGGACCCGAGCTAGACACCAAAACGGCTGTTGAGCTGCTAACGGAGACGCAAACTCTTAAGGAGCAACTGGAAAATGCATGCGAACTCAAGGATCAGGAGGTAAGTGGGCGCCATGGGGGATTCCCCTAGTTGACCACGTTGTTGTTGTGCCAATGGCCTCAGGTTCCGCTGTACGCTGCACTTGTAGGACTTTCTGCCGAAGGCTTCTGCGCGCCACAACAACCGTCAACCTTGCTATATGATGCATAAGCAGACACACACACACACGCACACACACAGACAGATTTGTAACTTGCCTCATCTTCTCTCCACAGATTGCCGCACTGCGCAAACAGGTTGCCACACTAAAGACCCAAAAGTTAAGCGAAGGCGGCGGCGACGCTGATGGCGACACCAAATCGTTGGTGAGTTGACCAAACTTCTGCAAAAACAAAACACTTTGATTAGCATCTATGGTGGGCGCGATGCCCAATGGGCGTGGCAACAGTAGTTACATGAATCGGCAGCAGCTAAAATCGAAACCCAAACTGCAGCTGCTGCCACCGCCACCGCCACCGCCACGAATATTTCCGGTGCCATGGACCATGTGAACCATACGCTCAGCCATATATGCTGTATACGTACATAGACGTACATACGTATTTATATATATGTACGATATCTGGCATATCGTCTGATGTTTGCTCGCGCGCTGTTTGCATGCAGCGCGATAAGCAAACCGAGCACAGAGCCATCGGCTTTGGCGTCGTCGGTTGCACGTTAAATTGTTCTCTCGCTCATATCCCTAAATTAATATTTAAATTGTGATAAGGCGATGGCAGCGCTCAGGAGCGGCACCAGCAATGGCAATGGCACCAGCAATACCAATAGCAACTGCCTGGGCTGGCTTATCTGTTGCCCCTGCCCCTGCTCCTGCTCCTGCTCCTGCCTCGCAGTCTTTGCAACGTGGCCTTATCAACGTTTACCTGCTGCCACATTATGTTGCGCGCAGCGATAAGCCGCAGCCAGCTTGTCCTACCTGCCCGGCCGCTCGTCCTCCCCGCCCCAAAGCCAGTCCATACCATGTATCATTTGATGGCCGCTCTTCTATGGAAAAAAAAAAAAAGAAAGAATATAACATAGTTTGGGAAATTTCTATTTGATTTAACATTACGTTCTATTTACTTGGTCGGTCATAAATCGGATGTGCTTTTCGCCCATATGCTGCACTCGGCTGTCATATCTACCCAAATGTATAGCTATATACGTGTACATTAACTGAATCCTCATCATCTGCCCGACCCGTTTGTTTAATTTACCGAATTATTTTTGATTGGGCCGCCTATCGACCCGTGCCCCCGTGTCCCCGTGCCCCCGTGTCCCCCTGCCAACCATGCCAAAAGCAGAACCCTTCCCCCAAGCGACCTGCGAACTAACTGATATGCTCTTTCAATTGTTTGGGGTTTGACTCTTTCATTTGATTTGATTTCTTTTTTTTTTTAATCGACTGCTTAACCAACTCGTGCATAACTGTACCAGGTGCTCAGTTTATCGAGCATGTGTTATCGATAGACATTTAAACTTACTGCCGTTCAGTTTTCGAAGAATTCAATCGAAGTCCGAAAACTGAGAGCCTTGCGATTCAAGGACTTACATATTTCGAATTGCTGAAAGCGATCCTGAATATAATGTTGGCATATACAAGAGCACAATAAAGGAATAATCTAATGCTTTGCTCTCTCGAATGCTATTGGCCTTGGGCGAATGATAATAGGTTTCGTATATCGTCTCAGATAACACCTATAAAAGTCTATGAAACATACGACAAACTCGAAGATTTGAAATGCGTTTGGTTAAGAGTCTTGCTCGCTTTTAATCCATTTCCATGGGTACAGTTGAAACAAGCAACAATTGTTGTCTGTGCTCATCTACTATATGGCATATAGACGCCCGATGCTGATCAGATTTTGGTTTTTTAAAGCTTTCCATTGCTGGTTTTAACTAGAAAATCTTAAACAACCACATAGCTTTTCATGTAACTACGCGAAACTTATTCCAATTGTTCATGGAATTCGTGTAATATAGGCGTTTGATCCGATCCGCAACAAAATTAAGGACCTAGAAGCAGATACGGCTTTATCATTGCAACAATCACAGACTAATTTCTTGTCTGCATTTGTGCAATTCAAGTATTTGCAGGGATTTCAGATGCGAATGCAAGCAAATGTGAAAGAGATTTTTCCGATCTTCACATGTAAATTCTTGTAAACAAAACACGTTCTCTTTAACATTCGTAAATATATCTTGAAATAGCATGATAATATATATTTAAATGAATAATA